ATCCAAATAAAAAAGATAATTATTAATAATGCCTTACAAGAAATTATTAATAATTGAATCATATTTCAAACAAAATTGGTTCAATTTCAAACAGAAATTTTTTATAATATTTAAAATATTTGTTCAATAAAATTACCGTGTTAATGTTCATTAGAAAAATATAAGACTAAAAATGCCAGTCGTTATTATATATTTCCTCATGAGTAAAATAATTTATAATTTGTTTTGTATTATGATTGTCTGAAATACAAAATCTCTGAAATTAATTTATTTTATGTTCCCAAGTATACATTCACCTCATACTGTTTTTTATTACTAATTTAAATCAAACTAAATTATTGAAAAATAATATGAGAACAAATATCCTTAAATCATTTTTTATCTTTGATCCAAAAAAAAATTACCAAAAATAGATTGATATATAACATTTGCGATAACTAATATTTAATGTTCATTTTGCTAGCTTTTTTTAATAATAAAAGAAAAAAAAAGCTCAAGAATATACAGATAAATGTTATGGAAATTTATTAACTTTCAACAAGAGAATTAAGCAAGGCTAGTTTATCTTCCAGAATTTCAGTAACGGAGGATATTATCTTTTGAAGGAAAGAATAGAATTCCTCAATAAAGTTTTATGTAAGTTTTTTGACACCATTTTTTTCGAAGAAAGCAAATTTTGATTTTGCTTATGCATTGATAATGTACGATAACCAAAGAGTCACAGAATTTCTCCTTGAGATTGTTATGTAGAATGATCTCAAGACTTGTAAAATCGTCTTCTTTAAAGTATTTCTTGATTTTTATAGAAAAGATATCGTATTTACTAATAATGTGTTTGAAAAGATTAAGGATATTTTGCGCAAACTTAGATTCATTTAGACTAATAAGAATTAAAAGCAGTATTAGACGAAGGATAATTGTCAAATAAGCCTGTTCTTTACAAAACAACAGGTTATGAAGCTGTTGAATTTGATCGATTGAATTATTGATTGCAGACAAATAGTTCTTTCTGCTATAAGTATAACGAACTGGAATGAGTGGTTTCGCATTAAATGCTTCAAAGTAATTAATCAGGTAAACTCGCAGAAGACACAAATCGCAATACTCTTGACCAACTGTGAAAATCAAAGACGTTGTAAATTCCACGAGAGATGTTAGACCTCCAAGAGCATTGGATGAAATCAGATTGACTTGCTTAATATTTTTAGTGAATAATTAATAAATGATTTCAAACTTATAATCGCGGAAATCAATTTATTATTATAAAGAAACGAAAAAAATTGCGAGAGATATCTTCCAATTGGAATCGCTTGAAAATTTTCACAATAATATTCAAAACCAACGGTTAGATAGTTTGGGTGTGAAAGTATTTTTGTTTTCGACATCTCCTGATAGAACTCATCTATAATCATTTTGTCCTGCAGCTGCTGAATAACTAATATGTATTTTAACATAACTTCAAAGTCGTTAGCATTCTTTGACTTATTAAATAACATTGTCTTGTAAACTTCATTTATAAGACCATCACGAACGTGAATAGG